GTTTAAGGTGTCTTAGCCGTTAAACCGACAGAGGCTTACTAACAAGACCTAGCTTAGAAAGGACGTGGGGGAGTGAATGCAGGGATAAAAACGGAAACGACTTCCTGGGACAGACAACTTCCTGGTAAGTGCCAGCGGTCCTGAAGATGCGTAGACCTTTGGACTCCACAGTTCTGCCGCTGTGAGCACATCAAAACTTAACGCTTGGGGTGGAGAGCCCTTCTTTTCGATCCTGGAAATCGTTGTCCCTCAAAGCAATCTGCACCACTTTGATTTTAAAGAGGAAAAACAGTAAGCCTTCAGCTAAACAGTCTGTGAAACGATGTAGCCACGGGCCCCTCCTGCGGCTGGAGAACTGCAAGAGTCCCTGGAGAGCTGACAGAGGGCTCTGGAAGCTCCTCCTGCATTAGAGAGCCTGAGGAAGATTATCTGCCATTGGGAAAATTGGGGACCCGAAATGCCGCATTTTCTCTCTCTCTCTCTCTCTCTCTCTCTCTCTCTCTCTTTTTTTTTTTTTTGGCCTGGAATGATAACAGCTCAATGCTGTCACCCTGGTTACCCCATGCTAACCAGAAGCTCTAATTAGCAACCACATCTGATTAATAAAAGCAGGGAGAGAAACAGTTCAATTATGAAGTGCCAGTGTGCCAGACACAAAACTTCAAATCACGGGGAGCCAGGTGGAAGATGGGTTCTGACTGAGGAGGACCATCCCAGGAACGGTCACTACGTGAACAACAGGTATTGTTTTCAGTTCCCAGTTGGGGAGGAGCAATCATAGATGTCTGGACCATATTGAGGTAGTGTTCTTGACTTCTGCCTTTCTCGTACACTCAAAACCTTTCCATCTGCCTCTGATCTCCTAAAGGAAGAATTTATACTTGAAATGGAGCAAGTAGGCACAACCATGAGAAGGCCCATAATTATTTGATAAGCTAGGGGTCTCATCTGTAGGCCTTTGCTGTTTGCCTGCCCCAGTGTGTGAGGAGCCCACCATACATGGTCATTCAGACACAGTTTATAGCCAGCTGAAAATCCTTATTCCAGCTGGCTAGGACTATATCCAGGTATCCCAGATGCAAATGTAGCACCAAATGTTTAGAGTAAAGGGTTTTAAAAGGCAAAACTCACATCCTGGCACCTCACTGAGAAGCTGCAGGGGGAGGTTTTGTGCAAGCAGGCTGTTTAACAGATGCCAAGATAAGCAGTTAGCTGGAGGGGGAGGCTTGTATAGCAAGCAGTTTAACAGAAGCTAAGATAAGTTAACTAGAGTATTTTGACCTCCGGTTCCTAGAATAGAGTTAGATAATTTCCACAGGATTCTCCATCAAGGAGATCAGATTCTAGTTAAACAGAAAATGGCCTCAGTAAGAATACAGGATGAAGAACCTCTACAATGTCTTGCCCCATCACAGCAGCATCCATATTCTAACTTCTCTAGGAACTGGGCTCTCTTCTGATTCTGAGTTTATGTGCTTGGGTACCACTGATCACTTCCATTGCTTAAGAGGTGGCCCAGTGACCAGATCTGACCATTTGAAACATTCTATCTGTTATGATGTAAGCGATGAACACCATAAAGTCGCACCATGTGACATATCTAATGTGGGAGGTTTCTTGGGAAGAGGTATACAGAGGCTGCTCTGGGAGGTGATGAAGGGAAGAAGGAGAGGGAAGAGAAGAGGGATTGGCCTTTTATAAGGGATGTAGTGCGTGGGTAGGAGGAGGATATGCAACTCATGGTAACAGTGCCAAGAACAGTTGTATCTTGGCAGCTAGTGATGCCATATCCTGCTGTTGCCGGATCCCTGGAGCAGGCAGTGGAGATGCCCAGTTGCTAACACTATCCTCTTGGTCACACTTAACAGGTGATATCTCAGAAAGATGTATGTTCCAAATAGTCCCCAGGGCCAAGACACAAATATTACGGACAAAACACATCGTAAGTAGGGTATCCTGAAGATGCTCAAGATTCCCTCTTCCATCATTAAGCATAGGAATAGGATAATCTGAGAGTAAATCTGGGGCAGGAGGCAGAGAGAGAGAGAGAGACAGAGACAGAAAGAGAGAGAGACAGAGATTTCTGCTGCCACCATTTAAGCACCAGGAATCCAGCTATGCCTGGGGTCAGTTCTTCTGGAATGTTTTGTCAACAAAGTCTCTTATGCTTTAGACATTTTGAATTAAAGGTTCTGTCCTTTCCCTACACGGGTTGTAAACGCCCTATAAGCATTTCAGCTGAGGGACCAGCTGCTTTTCTCCACATTTTTATCTTCATATTTATCATTCAGGAAAAGGGCCATCAGCAGTACCTGATATTCACAGTCATTCAGACCACATCCCAAGCCTAGTAAATTGCCCTCTGCAGCAGCCCTGGTCCCCCAGGGGACATCAATGTACACTGCATCTCTCTGAAAACAATTTGAGCCTCCAACAGGACTTAGAAGCCTTTGAAGAGTCTTCCCAGACCTGAGCCCTCTGACCTCTTTCCAGTTTCCTCCTGGAAAGCTAAAAAGGAGAGAAGCTGACAGGGAGTCTACCCAGAGCATCTTGCTCAGTTGGGGGAGGAAGCAGAGTAGGCCCTGCTAAGGCCCTTCCCTGCTAAGGGAAGTCACTATGGTCCAGTTTAAAGGATGAAGCTGATTTCCTCTGAAGTCTGAGCTTGTAAGCACTGTGACTACAGGGAAGCCAGGAAGGCTACAGGCAGCAGCAGGCAAGCCCAAGGGTGAGATGGTGGCTCAGGAAGCCCTCACCCAGGAGATGGGTTTCCTTAATTTAATGCTTTGTTTTCTCTTCAAAGGGAAAAAATCCATTCTCTTTTGAAATGCCTATATGGCTTGCCTCTCCATCATTTCAGAGAAGAACAAGAATAGCACAGGAAGCCTTGATTCATTTCATAGAGATGAGGAGAGAGAGCTGAGCTGACCAACCAGTCCTCTGTGGGTTTCAGCACCACCCAGCCTTACTTCTGCTTGGCGGGTAACAGGTGTGTCCCTAAACTGGATCTGGTAAGCCTTAGGGTAAGTCAGGGAAACTCGATGTGGGCTAGAGATTAGACAACCTCATTGTGGAGGTGTGAAGTTCCCTGGATGCCCTTGCTCGTTGGAAGACTCAGGATGGTTTTAAGAGAAAACCCAAAGGTCAGCCAGTCATTCTCAAATGGCTTTAGTGATCTGAGGCTGACCTTTCCAGAATGCCTCTGCTGAGTGGTATCTGCCCACACTCTAGAGGGCCTGAGGCAGGAGCCCAATGCCCTTGCTTGTCACCTGCTCCTTCTCTGGCATATGACAGCTTAGGTCTCACTGGTGCCAGGCAACTCTGCCTGGTGTTCATGAGTAACAGGATGCTGAGCCTTCCTGTGTAGGCCAGCTCTCCAGCTCTTCATGCTGGGGTCGACCACCTGAGACCCTGCTTCAAGCCATGTCCAAGAACAAATAGGAAAGGCTCCTCAGGACTCCAGGCTCCACAGGGGCCTGGCCTCTGTAGGTGAGATATGAGGACCCTTTCTTCCCACCTGTAGTGAGGGTGCATCAAGGTAGCCAGTCAAAGCCCCTCATCACAGCGAAGCCTGGAACAAGATAGGCAGGGGCGAGGATGTAGAAGGAGAAAAGGGACTATAGAGGGAGGAAGAAGGAAGCAGGAGAGAGAGAGAGAGAGAGAGAGAGAGAGAGAGAGAGAGGGAAAGAGGGAGAGGAAGGGCTCCACAGGCAAAGGGAGATGATAGGCAAGTTGGATTTGGCGGGGGTCAGAGGCCAATTTTAAGGAGTCAGTTCTCTCCTTCCATCATGTGGGGTTTGGAAACTGAACTCTTTATCTCATCGGCCCAATCCCTGGGTCATTAATGTTTCTTTGAGGGTTCAAAGCAGAGTTCCAGAGCAGAGCCATCTTTCAGGGCTCTCAGAGGCCAGGATGATGAGGCCCTGGATGCACTTTCCTACTTTGTGCAGGTTTTGAGTCTCGTTCAACACCCACCCACGGGGTGCAGTGGTGTTCTATGCTGGTGGGGCAGTTAGAGGCAGTATGCCAAAGAGGTGACAAGGACTGTGGAGAATAGTCACTCTATTCACTCATGTCCCCTGCCGAGGCTCTTATTTCCCAACCCTTCTCATAATTATCTAACAACTATATCCCTTAATAAATCTCTTTTTCCATGATATTCATAGCAGTTTCTCTTCCTAGACTGGTCTGACTGACAGAGGAAGAGAAGGAGAAAATGGGGGGGGTGGATCAGGGAGGTAGCGTACAGCAGTGGACCCTGAGTAAAGCAAATATAAGAGTCCAGCTTAGCTATTCTTGCAACACCTTTACCAAAGTCACGTTTTTCCAAATATGATTTAAAAACTAAAATGCTGAACAATGCATCAATCAAATCAGTGACACCAAATATGCTTCTATTGTCTTCCAGCTTAGACCTTTATATGATCGACACAACTGAGCACGCCTCCAGAAAGTAGCTTCGAGTAATTTCCTCCTGATGTTACTCATTCTTTGAGGAAGGTCCAGGTTTATTGCAGTGGATTTTGAGCCCAAGTCTCTCTTGGCCTGGGACTGAATTAGTTTGTGTCTTTGCTGTGTTGTTTCAAGGAAAGGGACTATTGTGTGTTCCCATCCCTAAGGAAGGAAGGTCTGAAGTGTGTGTGCTGCTTTGAAAAGAGAACTATCCCCCAGCATCTCAGATCCTTGAACCCTTGGTGCCCAGCTGGTAGGGATGTTTGGGGAGGTTCAGGTGGCACAGACTTGCAGGAGGAGGTATGTCACTCAGGGAAGGGCTCTGAGAATAGACAGCCTCACCTACCTACAGTTTGCTCTGTCTACTTTGTGCTCGTGGTTCATGATGGTAGCTCTTGGCTTCCTGCTCCTGCCACCATGCCTGCTGCTTACCTGCCGTGCTGGACTTTCATCCCTCTGAAGCCATAAGCCCAAATAGCCGCCTTCTCCTGTAGGCTGTTCGGGTCATGGCATTTTGTCATAGCAACAGAAAAGTAACTAATACACTGCATATCATAGAACCTTTATTATTTTTTCCTCTAAATTCTTAGAAACTTACATAACGCCCGTGCTCTAGTTGTGATATCATTTATAGACATTTAAAACACATCTTCATGTATAAATATTTTACATTTGGTCCATAGAACAGATAATTTTACTAAATAATACTGTAATTTTTTTTAAAACAGGCTCTGTATATAGTCTGAATAGGCATATATTACATATACTTTTTATATAGAGATAAATTTACTTGGTGTTCTGAGAATAAATCCTTATTGCAAAAAAAAAAAAGCATATATGATAATACAATTATCTTCTTCCCTCTGGGCAAAAACTAAAAAAGAAAAGTTACACATATTCACAGTTCTCACAGTAATTGTACGACCCTTAATGTTGTGCTCTAGAAGGTACGTTTGGGTGGAAATCAGGGATTCCTTGCCAAACATCTCAGAGGTGCTTACGAACATGAAATATACTGCACTTATCTCAGAAAAACTTGTTCTCAGCTTCACATCCAAGGACAACGAGCAGCAAGAAGAAAACCTCCTGCCCTCATCCTAAAGGGCTTCATACACAGGTGAGGGAGGGATGGGGCCACGAGACACAGTGGAGGGTCCTTGCATTCCACACCTGGGACTCTGGCGACAGGCACCTGTGCAAGCTGGTCGCAGAGTCTCCACCAAGCAGGGAGATGCCTCGGCCACACGACCCTTTTACCGTGGCCTCGCTAGATTGCCTACACAATATCACACGGGAGGCTAAACGCCACATGTGAGGCTGGGTGTGTGCGTGTGTGCATTTCTATGTGCATACATTTTTGTATTCTCTACAGTGTGCTTAATGTTCTGAGGGAGATAGCTTATTGCAAGAACTGGTGTGCTGGTCACTTTTGGATGACAATGACAAGAGATTAAAAAAAAAACCCCACGGTCACAGTTATTCACCACAGTTATTATGGATTAGTCATAAACACAGTTTGTGAGCTATCAAGCTAAGGAGCTACGGGACAAGACATACGCTTTGCTACATGGGAGCCCGTTCTCTCGGCAGAGGAAGAGAGATGGGGCTGCTGGAATTTTCCAGAAACTGTCTCCACTGGCTTCACCAACACAGAGCCCAAGGCCAGAAGGGGCATGTGACACTTCCCACTGGAGCAGGTTAACAAGGGAAGCTCAGTGTCAGGGTAGGGTGGGTGAGGCCTCTGGATTATCCCTCCTCCATTAAGTGGGCATATACATTGAGAAATTTCCAGAAAGGTGGGGGCGGGGAGACAGCAGAACAGAGTGGCAGTGACAGTCTAAGAGGGAAACCAAGGTGAACTGGATTGGTCCTGATTTAGACAGAACCTTCACCTTGGTTTCCTTGGCCATTGTTTGTGCAAAACTGGACAGCTCAGAGGGACCACAGATCCCACTTAGGGAAAGTCCTGGAATGGTGACCAAAAAAAGGCAATTGTGCTTGTGGCTTTTTTTTTTTTTCTCCTCAGCATACAGGTCCCTTCTGGACCGGCTGCTGCTGTTAATGCCACCAGGGAAGGTGGGGCAGGGGGCACTGAGCTGCCCGGGTCACAGGGTCACAGGGACAGAGGACCCTCTCCGAAATGCTCTGTGAAGCCACAGAGGTGTCTGTGAAGCTGCCTCGGGAAGGAGAAATTAAGAAGGAAGAGGCAGAGCCCACCGGCTCCCAGTGGCCTTGAACCACATGCCGTAGCCCTGGTCCATAACCAGGTCAGAGCCAAGATGAACAGAAAAGTCTGGATAACAGTCTACAGTTGGGGCACAGGACAACAGTCCAAGTAAGACTAAAAGCCAGGAGAGTGTGGCCTCAGCTCTCACCCTCTCTGGCAGCATAAAAATGAGCTACTGTGGCAGCTGCAAAGGCCAGCCACCTGCTCTCGCTATGGGGCCTGAGGGAAAAGTCACCAGAACTCTGTGAAAGACCCCCCCAGGAGTGGCTTCCCATTCAGGGCCCACTCAGGGTCAGACTGTCCCCCACCGCCCCTCTCTACATGGTGATGGTGTCTGGACCCGCCCCTTGAGGTAGGTGGAGACAAAGAACATCTTCAGTCTTCAAGGGGTGCGGGTACAGCCAGACCAGGGTGCCAGTGCTGGGGTGATGAGGGGGACGCACCCCTAGATGTAAGCCTCCTTGCTGGCTGAGCTGCCAGCCTGCGGCTGCTCAGGACCATTCTCAGGGCGCACGATATCTTCACTGGGCTGAACCATGACCTGGAGGCGCTGTGGGCAGGGGTGGTGGTGAGGCCCCTCCCACCTCCCTTCCTCCACCAAACCCAGCTCCAGTCTTCTTACTAGTAGGCCATATGTCCCTCATGGTGGAGGCTACCTGGCCAGGGACACACTTGTTCTCATCCGTATGACCCAGAGGCTCCTGACCAGCCCTCTGATGCCTTTCTCGACATTACCTCCTGTCCAGCCGCAGCATGGCTGAAGGAAGCTGGTCAGAAAGCCCCTCTCCATGTTTCAGGACCCAATCCCATTTCATCCGGCATAAAAGCCAGATCCTAGGCCCTCCACAATCTGGCCACTGCCACCTCTCAGAACCCAGTGTCTCCCATCTCCTCTTCTCCCCGCCTCACTTAGCTACTCAAGCCACACTGACCTTCTCTGCTCTTCCAATACTCCAAGCATGTTCCTCTGCCGCCACAGCCTTCCTTCCAGATCCTTACAGTTTCCTGACTGCCCTTCCCCCACCTCCTCCATCTGTCCTCCAGCCACACTGATCTCCCTCCAGCTTTCCTCATGGCATTGTGACCCCTGGACCTTTTTGTGCAAGCTGCCCATCCTACCCTCCTAAGAACATTCTTTCGTTTTCTACTTCAGCCTCGCTTGTCTTCAGGCTTCCAGGAGGCCACCCTAATCTTCAGGTTCCCAGGGCCTCAGAGGTATACTCTGTCATTCTAAATGTCACTGGCTTGCTAACTAGGGCCTTCAACTAGACCTTGAGCTCCCCCAATGCAAAAGGGCTTACCTGCTTCAGAGAGCCCTTTAGGGTAAGGAACATGTAAGCCATGTACCCAGGGATGAGCACCATGGAGGACAGGGCCATGAGCCAGCCCACACCCTGGCCCCACTTGGGGAAAACGTAGCTTCCCATGGTGAGTGGCGTCATCTGCACAGCGCTGAAGAGAAACACGCCCTGTGGGTGGGGAAGGGCATGACAGTCAGCCCTGGGATCCTAGACCAAGCAAGGCCCTACCTCCTGCAGCTGACTCTCACAGCCTACTCTCCAGGAACCCTGCAGATGAGGGATGAAAGCAGAACCCTCTTTCTGGAAAAGACCTGGAGAGGAGGAACCTGCTTGCGGGCTAGCCAGTATAGTGGGCTGGATGGTCACCCCTGGCCACTGTGGGTGGCACAGTCTAGGCAGCAGCCCAGTTCCCACCTCAAGGAGCTTTGGTGCCCCTGCCAGGGCTCTGAGGACCTCAGCACCCCTCAAAGAGGGAATGGGTCCTACTGACAAAAAAGAAGCCTCCGCATGTCAGGAATCTGGGCTCCTGGGTTAGGCTGAGCTGGCTCAGGGGCTCAAGACAACATTCTGGTTGCTGAGGCTACCCTACCCATGTGATTGTTTCCCAGCAGGGCTTGGCACAGATGCACAGCAAACAGTGGAGGGGGAGGTGTTACTTGGGGGGGGGCAGAAGATCTGGAGAGCTTTACCCTGCCCTCACTCCCAAAAGTTTTTTTCAGGGAGCAGAGCTGTCCACACCCCAGCCTGCTGCATCCCAGTGGGCTAGCCTCATCCTAGTGGCTGGTCAAGCCCCATCCTTACCGCCACAATGATGGGCGTGAAGAAGGACCAGCATAGTTTCCACCAGATGCAGGGCCTGGAGCCAACCATCTCCTGGATGTTGTCATAGAACCGGTTGACACCTGTGATGTGGGAGTAAGAGCAAAAGACAGGGAGAGCTTCCAGGACAGAGAGCTAGGACCCAGCTCTCCCACTTCTTTGAGGTGCAGCCCTGAGCAAGGCGCCTCACTTCTGTGAACCCTAGTGCCCTGGTCTCTTATGTGGGACACGTGCTTTGGTTTTAATCAATTCCTATGGCACCATAACATGACGACAGGAGGATATGTAAGGACACACCTGCCTGACGCCCCTCCCACAGACACCTGTCCCAGCCATGCCTTTGTTGGCTTTGCCAGGAGGGCACATTTCCCTTTGGTGGTCTTACTGTGAGAAACTGATGATAGATTGAAAAAGAAAAGAAAAGAAAAGAAAATCCAAATTTAGAAAATCAATGGTAATGATAAAAGAAAAACCTGAAGCCCTCAGGATGGAGCAGATCACCGCTCCCTGTGGAAAGGCACAGAGCAGGGGGACCATTAGAAGGGAGGAGGGGGCAGTAAGAGGAGAAAGGTAATGGGGTACAAGTGGAGGATGGGGAGGGGCACAGCGCTAGGCTCTTTCAAAAGGTGTGTCCTGCTGAGATAGCTGGAGTCTGGGAAGGACATTGTTTTTGTTGTTGTTGATTTTTTTTTTAGTATTTATTTTATGTAGATGAGTGCTCAATCTGCATGTACACCTGCATGCCAGAAAATGTCATCATATCCCAGTATAGATGGTTGTGAGCCATTATGTGGTTGCTGGGAACTGAACTCCGGACCTCTGGAAGAGCAGACAGTGCTCTTAACCATTAAGCCACCTCTCCAGCCCAAGGGAAGGACATTCTTAGGTCTTTGGGCTCTCAGGCAATCATCTGGAGAACCTTGACTCCAAAAGAAACAAATAAAACAGAATTTTTTCTTTGTGATTTGTTCTAGAATAGTTCACACCCACAATCATACATAGTCTTGAAGTCACTAAGCATGTGACTTAAAAAATTATAAAGTTTGGAGTTCCCCTTTTTCAGATAATATGTTTTTTCTTTTTTCACATTTATTTATTTTGTTTGTGTTGGGGGAAGCACTTGTGGAAATCAGAGGCCAACTTGTAGGAGCCATTTATCTCCTCCCATAGGTAGGTTCTGGGGATTGAATTCAAATTGGCAGACTTGCAAGTGCTTTGAGCCATCTCATCAGCCCCCGAATAGAATTTCAAACCAATCTTTTTATTCTCAAACTTATGAAGTCTTGATGGCTTGCATTTTATTTTTTTAAGATTTATTTATTTTTATTGTGTGTGTTTAAGTGATTTCAGCACCATGCTCAATGCTCAATGCAGTATCTGCAGAGGCCAGAAAAAGAACTTGGATCCCTTGGAACTACAGGAGGTTGTGAGTCTCCATGGGGGTTCTGGGAACTGAACCCAGGTCTTCTCTGTAAGAGCAGCAAGTGGTCTTAACCTCTGATCCATTTGCAGCCTCTGGCTTGCATTTTAAATGGATATGTGCAATGGCCCCAGTCACACTGTCTTAACAGGGCAGCCCCTGTGTTAACTAAACTTGTGAAAGTGTTATAAAGATATAAAATAAAGGTTTCATGTTCAAGATATTGACTGGATGGATGTATGGATGGATGGATGGATGAATTAATGAGGGAGGAGGGTTGGTTCTCACCATAAAACCAGGAAATGGAGACACACTCAAAGAAAACCAGGAACAGCAGGCTCATGCCACTGGCAGAATAATAATCGAAAAGTTTGAAGACATAAATGCCGCCCTGAAAGAGACAAAGGGATAAAGTGCAAGCAGGGCTCCATCCCTGCACACTCCCCCAGCCCCAAGAGGCTGAAGAGGCTTGCATTGGGCACACTGCAGCAGGAAAGCTTGAGGGCAGAGTAAACAAGCCCTTAGGGTCTATGGCTTCCTGGTCTTGGGGCCAGGAAGATGTCTGGGAGATGTCCCATTTCCAGTGGACTTTCATTAGGACTAGAAAGTGGCCGAGCCATTGCCAGCACAGGTGATTCTTCTTTCCCGGATAAACCCTCTCCTGACCCACATAAAACTGTAGGGAGAGCTATCATTTTAAGTCACACCTGACTGCAAAGCCTGCAAGGCCTGAATCCCCATCCATCTTCCTGCTCTATGCTTCCTCCACACTGGCCTCCTCTTGTGCTGCGGGCTCCCCAGATGCAATCCTACCGCAGGGCCTGTGGACCTGTTCTCCTTGCTTCCCTAAGATCCACCACCACCACTCCACCCCACCAGCCACCCCTGGCGCCCACCCTGCCTCATCTCTTAAGTCTCAGATCAATGGTCTCTTGCTTAGAGAGGCTTCTCCTAGATATCTTGTCTGAGGCAGAGGCCCTCTCACTCCTAGTCACTCTTGAGCCTACTATTCATTTCCCTACTATTTTTTTTCCTTTCAGAAAAAAAGCTAACATGGGCATTAGTTTTGACCCCTAAAATACAACCTCTCAGAAAGCCAGCACAGCAGTGCCCATCATTTTAATGGCTGAATCTCAGGGTCACGCCATCCCACAGGCTGGCGTGCGCAGTGTTTCTTTCTAAGATAAATAGAAGGGACTTGGCAAGTGCCAGTGTCGAAGGCCCCACTTCTTCCTCAACTCTGACCCATTTGCAAGCTCACTCTCCCCCAACTCCTCATTTCCCACCTCCATTTCCTCATTCTCTCAGTCTTATCCCTTCTACCTTCTCAATCCCAGATTCCCATGTCACCTCCATCCCTTCATCACTCCCATCCCCTCCTCCAGGAAGTAGATGCTTATGGCTGGAATGAGTGCTACGTACTCTAGATTTGTCCCATGCTTTCTGGTTCAAAGTCTGCCTTCTCTCACCAGTTTGGGACTCCATGGTGAATCTCACAGTGGTATGCTGAGGTTTGGCACGATGGTGCTCGGTGCAGAGAAAGGTGTGATAGCATAGGCTAGCCCCAAGGAGGCCCAAAGGCTGGAGAGCTTTGAGTCTTGAGGATGAAAAGATGTGCCAAGCCCTGGGGAAAATCTGAGCCATGCTGGATTCTTGTCAGCCTACCTGGGTGATGTTAGAGAGGCCAATCAGGTAGGACACGATGCACACGGCAGCAATGAAGAGTTCACGCCGATTGCGGAGGAGCCTGGGGTACTCATCCACCAGGGCAGTGATGAAGCCCTCCACGGTACAGAACTTGTTGGGGGAAAGATGGGGTCAGCCACCTGTGCTGCAACCAGCTTCACACTCCCTCCCACCCAAAACCTGTAAGGTCTTGTAAGGGAAGACAAGAGGCCTGTAGCTAGACAGCAAGGCCGGGTTGGTTTTTGTGGAGTGCGGTCCTCCAGGCACTGTCGGGGCTAACCAAGACCAAGGGGCTAACCCCTCATGGAGCCCTCATGGTGCTATGGAAGGCTCACCTGGCTGTCAATTCCCAGCATCAGCAGCATGGAGAAAAAGAGGATAGCCCAGAGGGGAGAGATGGGCAGCTGTGTCACAGCCTCAGGGTACGCCAAGAATGCCAGCCCAGGGCCTGGTGTGGAGGACAAGACAGAGGAAAGTAAGAGGGAGAGAGAGAGTGAGATAGAGAGAGAGAGAGAGAGAGGAAGTGAGTGCTACCAGCCCAGCCAGCCCACACCCAGCAGCACACCCCACACAGCCAGCACGTTGTCACTTGCTTATTTTGATCTCAGTTCATCCTTTGGGTAAACCTGTGTGTGCATCCTGCCATCCCTTAGGAAGCAGTGAGGGTCCAGAGGGAAGACAGATAGGTGAGTACAGAGCTGAAGAACCGTGGGGACATGGCCAGTGGCAAGGACAGTGCCATGTGTGGCAAGGCTGGATAGAGACACATAAAGAAGGCAGGTGGAGGACAGATGCTGGAACTAGAGGGCTCCTAAAGAGGTGAACAGAGGAGTGGGAGGGGGCTGAGGAGTCTGTTAGGCTTTGGGCAGCTGAAACCTTGAGGAGTGGGAAGTTACAGGGTAGAGCAGATGTGGGATGTCTGTCTGGGGCCTAGGGGTGGGGTGGGAGAGGCTGGAGAGTTCTAGGAAAATGAGATTGAAGGAGGAGGGTCCCCTGTGGGTGAGACCGGACCCTCAGCAGAGAGCATTCCTGCTGATGTGACCAACCATGCCATGTCCTCCAAGGAAAAGCCTCATTGCCTTCCTGAACCCCGGGAGCCTCTGCCAGGCCCATAGTCCCTCCTGCTGTGGCCTGGCCTGGCCAAAAGGGAAAGGGGTCGGGCACTGAGTGTCTTCCTGGCTTGTGGCACTGGTGACCGTGGGAGCAAAGTAGGCACAACCCACAAGTGACCATGTTTTCGGAGCTATGGCAAAAGCCTAGCCTGGAGAGCTTTGCCTCACGGAGGTGACCTGTTCCAGCTCACTCTTCGTGACTACGCACACCGTCACGGCAAGCCCCACCTTCCCCAGGTAAAGTTCCAACCTGAGGCTGCAACGTCAGCGATGGACCTCTTGGTGACGTGAGCCATGAAGCCCACGATGGAGAAGATGACAAAGCCGGCAAACATGCTGGTGCAGGAGTTGATGCAGCAAACAATGATGGAGTCCCTGGAGAGCAGGAGGGCCGGTGAGGTGAGCGGGTGGCAACTATAGGACAGTGGGATGACCTCTACAGAATAGAGGGCAATGATGTCCAAGGAAAGGGAAGCGGAACCATAGGTGGCCTTAGAACGGCAAGCCCAGAGCAAACCAGGCAAAGCTGAGCAGGAAAAAAGGGGTCACCTAAGAGGGTAAAGAGGGACTTAATATGTAAATAGCCAGGGCAGATGTGACTACTACAGAGGTCGTGGAGACTGAGGTTCCACGGGGGAGGGATGGTAGTCTGAGCTGAAAAGCATGGCCTCCAGTGTGTGACAGCTGGGAAGTGCCAGAGACAGGTGTTCAGTACTTGGGTAGAGCGGTTGGCACGCATTCCTGGGGCGTGGCCTCAATGAGCCTCTACCAGGAAGTCATGGTCAGGGGCGTGGTCAGGAGGGAAGCCTCAGGACCCGCCCCCTCGCACCTGTACACGTTGTTGTGGAAAGAGTTGTAGCTTCCGAGGGCAATCAGGGACCCCAGGCCCAGCCCATAGGAGAAGAAGATCTGGGTGGCAGCGTCGAGCCATACCTGCAGGCAGAGGATCAGAAACCCAGAACCGATTAATACAGAATCATCATCGTAGCCTCGGCCCCCTGGAGTCCTTAGGGAGCATCAGCATCACCTGACATGCTCGGGTACCTAGCAGTTGCAGCATGCTCTGGACCCTGGGGACCTGGTGGGGCGGGAAGGGGCGGGGCGCTCACCTCAGAATCTGACAGCTTGCGGAAGTTGGGTGTGATGTAGAAGAGGATCCCCTCTTTGGCCCCGGGCAGCGTCACTCCACGGAAGAACAGGATGATGAGCATAATGTAGGGGTACGTAGCTGAGAAGTAGACCACCTAGGAGCAAAGGTCGGTAGACTGCACCTCTCTGCAGTGCCAGATAGTTTCCTCCTCCTCCTCCTGGAGCTACCCCACTCCCGGATTCCTAGACTGCTAGGGGTGCCCGCCTTCCTGAAGCCCTTCCATGGAGTCTCCATGGAGTCTCAGTGTCCCTGCTTCCCCATTCACATCACCTCTCCTCCCACCCTCTGTCTCTTCTCCTCCCAGGTGTATGAGGAAAGTGCCTGTGTTGAAGACACACTCTTCTGGGAGGAGAGACACTCCCCAATCTTCCACCCCCATCTCCCCACCCCGCCCACCCTGAGGCCACGCCCCGTGTTTGGAATTCCCGGGGAAGCTCAGGGCTGGCCTCCTGCCAGTGATCCTCCTGCCTCTCATCCTGCCTTCTCATCCTCCTCAGTGATCCTCCTGCCTCATCCTTCTGAGTGTTTGGGTTACTCAGAGTGAGCTCTCATTTTTGTTGTTGATTTGGGGGTTTTGTTTATTTTTCTTTGAGGCCAGGTCTCATTATGTAATCCTGGCTGGGTCTGAAACTCACAGTGATCCTCCTGCCTCTGCCTCTGGGGCGCTGAAATTAGAGGTGTGAGACACCATGCCCAGCCCCCACCTCTCCATGTTCAGAGTAACACATATGATGAGAACAGAGAAAGTTTAAGAATATGTGCCCATGCACCCGAAGTCCCACAGACAGCTCCTAGCGGTTACAGAAGGGACAGTTCACTTGTGGCTGACGTCTTTATTTTCCAACATTCAGCAGACTCTCGGTTCTCACCATTCCTGTGTGGCTGACCACAGGTCCTTGCAAAAGGGGCTCAAATGACTGAGTCACCTCTTTAACACATGTGAAGCTAAAAACACACAGGCCAGGCTCATTCCTAAACGCTGCTTCCCTGTCTCAGGAAGAAAATGAACTTTAATTACAGAAAGTCCTTTGGGAGGTGTCAGTAGGGGGGTGACTATAGCGTTCCGGCTATGTGAGGATCCAAACACAACACTGAACCTGTCTGTATACAAATCTTTATCTGAAAAAGTGTTATCTCACACTTGGGAAAACTTCCAGCTGTGCACAATTACTGAACCTAAAGCATCAACTTCTCCAGCTTGTGACCTCGGTTGCTTAAGACCCTTCTGGAAATGGAGCTGCAGCTGGCAGGACATGGTGACCTCTGTGTTGAGCAGGGGCATGTTTAAACGTTGTCTTCTGTCAGATCCATCACTAAGGAACTGGTCTGTACAGTACGCTTCCGTGTGATCCTGGCTGTCCCTGAGTCTGATGTGATCCCCGCATTGGCAGGTGAGCATGGGTCGGTACTGAACTACCTTTGTCCCTCTTATTGGACTCTGAATCCTCAGTATCAGGAAAAACACCCACAAGCCATGGAGAAACCAACTTGAGAAAGAGGACTCAGTCATCAGCATGACCAGCAGGCTGGGTGACTTTGGGTAATTTCTTACCCTCCCTGAACCTCCTTTTTGCTTCTCAGCAAGTGGGTATGATTTTCAACCCCGATGAGCAGAAAGGCTGTTGTATGAGGACACATGCCATGCCAAATATATAGTGCCTGCCTGTACTGCCCCATTTTCCAAGCTCAGCAAGAGGCTGAGCACACAGTAGTTGTTCAACAGAAACTTGCTGAAGGACAGCAATAATGGATGGATCAACATCCCCAAATGATACAGTGAGGGAGGGCCCTGCTCTGTGTCTCCACAGGTGACCCTTCTGGGAATGCAGCCAGAATGTTAGGCACCCTCCCACCACCAATGGTTATAACTGCTATTAAACACTGAGTTTCTGTGTGGAGGACATTGGCCAGCGTTCTGTATAGATCATCGGTCAGCCGGTGACAACCCACAGCAGATGAGGGAATTGGGGCTCAGAGGGGCCTTGTGACTTACCCATGTACACACAGCTAGTCCCTGGGGAGCTGAGGTTCTAACTCTCTGGGACTCTTCTGCTTCCTAGAGTTAGCATGAGAGGGCCCTGTACCCACCTCTGCTCTCCCTAGTCCTAGTCCTAGGGACAGGTGAGGGGTCCCCTGACTCCCACACTGGGTCTGAGGACCTGGTGAGTTCTGGGGTCTACCAGACTGTACCACAGATGTGTACCACCTCTGCTCCCTTTAGACTAGAGCCCGGAAGTCAGCCAACTCTGTCCCCAAACTCTTCAACAAGACTTGTGGCCAGATGCCATCCTGGGTCAGCACCCAGATGTCTCCAACTGATACCCCAGCTCAGCCCTTATCTGCGCCTGTGTAAGTGAGCTAAATGAAGTCCCCTCCCTAGTGCTGAAGATCCTGACGGGTCCAGTGAGCCACTGGGTACATGTTTTCTCATGGGAGAACCAGTTTCAGGAAGACAGGGTGCATGTCCATGGTCCCGGAGCCAACTAGCTATGATGCGGAGATCTGAGCTTGGTGATGTGCAGCTCATCCATCCATCCATCCCTTCACCCATGGGTCAGGACAGAAGATGGCACCTCTGGGTCCCTGTACTTGGCACAAGGTAGCACAGAACAAGTGCCAGAGAAAGCTGGTTCAGTGCTCCTGGCTATGGCTACCTGTCACCTGGCTATGGCTCTGTCAAGCCCAGTGGTGCCTGGCACTGGCTTGTCTCCTTTTGTAAGAATGATCCCAGGCACTAAAATCTTAACTCAAACAGATGGAGCCTGTGGGAGCCATGGGCCCTGGTTGAGGACACACTTCCTCCTATAGACCTGTCCCCTCTCCTATGTGTCCCTACCTTTCCAGTCCAACCGACACCCTTCCAGATGCAGAAATACACAAGCACCCAGGCAATGGCCAGTGTGATAGCTAGTGGCCAGCGGATCTGTCCCGGCTTGTCCAGCCCATCTGTCATCTGGTGCATGTTGCGCCTGGGGACAGAGGAAAGAAGAAAGGATCACAGAGGGCCATCAGGAGGTGAGTGACCAGGGCTCTGACACAGACCATAAACGAGTCCTGGTGACACTGTGACCTTGTGACTGTGGGACCATGACCCTCACCTGGAGAGTGCACAGCAAGAGTCAGTGTCAACTGCAACTCCTGGGCTACTAAGCCTTCACCTCTGCTCTGCTCTACCCAGCCCTGTGGGATCCTCCTAAGTCCCAGGTAGGACCATGAAGCCACTCTCCTGCCTGAGACCCTAATAGTGCAGAGGGTCCTCTTGCCTGAGTCTGGAGAAGACTACAACCTACCGAGGTCCACAGCTCACCCTTGCCTCTTAGCACAGTTCCTCATCACGTATCTGTACCCGCCCCCTCACTGTGCCTATACACACACACACACACACTCCTTCTCATACTCCACTCACTTCCCAACCCTCTGTTGTGGCAAACAGGCCATCTCTCCTGCCCTGCACATCCTCCTGCCAGGATAAGCCACCTGCTGCCGCCACTGTCTGTTGGCATACCCAGATCTCTAATTACTCTGGCATACAGTAGGTGTTCAAGAAAGACCCAGGGATGAATGGCTGGGGGAGAAGACACATTATCTGCTGCCAGCCAGCTGGTTCAACCTCCCCAGTTGCCTGTTGCCACCCAGCTGGCACACCCTCCCCAGCCCCATGCCCTGCCCCCACTCACTCCCAGAACTCCACCACGGCGCTGGTCATGTTGGTGGTATTGACCAGGCTGTAGTTGGAGAAGCAGCGGTCTGTGTTCCAGGCGTTGTCACACTGTTTCCATGGCAGGGTCTGCAAGGGCAGAGTCACAGACAGGTCCAACTAGGTCCCTGGGGCTGGCCAGAGAGGACCCCACTCCACCTGCCCACCCTTATCACCCCACACACTCACTCATAGACATTTTCCCACCTCTCTTTCTCAACAGTTCTCAGAGGCAGGTAGACAAGATCACATCATCCAAATATGAATTCCTGCCCCTCCAAGAACCAGCTTCCAAGCTATACTATGTCCACCCTGTGTCCACAGGGGTGACCCCAGCAGACAGGGTCTGTCCCATGTCCAGCCTGGCTCTAGGCTCTTTACACATGACTTATGGGGTGAGTTTTAGTTTCTGTTTCCTTCCGCTTCCTGGTCAAATACAGGCCATCTAAAATCTACCACTGTTCTGTGTGCAGCTCAGCATCATGGAAGACACACAGTGTTGTACAGCAGCATTTTTCTAGGAACTTTGTCTCTTTTACTCACTACATCCCCACGATGCCTCTGTCTCTTGGACTCTGACCACTTTAAGAAGCATGTGCAGATAGAAGCACACAGCATCTGTTCTCCGTGACAACCTCATCCTCTTCAAGTTTCATGTCCACAGTGCCTGGGTCTTCCTTCATTAAAGCTGAGTAATATTCCACCACACACATAGATCCCAGAGTTCCTGAGCCCCTGCTTTTGCTTCTTTGGAAACAGAATTGCTGGGTCACATGTATAAATGGGAACAGTGAGGTCTCAGAGAGGTTAAAGCTGGTTTCTGAAACTGAGAAGCTGGTAGACAGAAGGGTTGGTATTCAAACCCATGCCATCTGAGTCCATACAAAATGGACTGTTGGCTCCAATTGTGGAATGCCTGAGGCACTAGACTGAGGCTGTTAGCGAGGCTGGACAGGAAAGGTACATAAGAGACACGCTACACCCCTCATTCAAGGACTGATCCAGCGAGCACACTGGGCGTTGCCACAACCCATGCAGGCTCTGAGCAGCAGCCACTCACCATGGTGAAGGAGTTGTACAGGTAGTAGATGGCCCAGGAGATGATGACAATGTAATAGATGTTCAGCCAGAAGGACAACACAGCCGCCGCGAGCCCCACGCCTGCAGACACACACAGGGCTTGCTCAGGCATGCTCAGAAATGGGTCCAAGGCATCCTCTTCCCAGAGGAATCTTGAGGTGAGGGCCCTCAACATGCTTAGCCCCCTTACTCACCCTTGAACATGGGAGCTAGCTTCCATACGCCCAGGCCCCCGATGGAGGTGTACTGGCCTAGAGAGCACTCCAGAAGGAAGAGAGGAACACCGGCAAAGATGAGTGTCAGGAAATACGGGATCAGGAAGGCCCCTGGAGAGGAGAGACACACTTACAGCCCCGAGTCTCTCACCCACCATTCCTACGTGTCCCTCCTGGAAAGCAGTACCCAGGGTCAGGCCCAGGCCCAGTGGAATCCTTCATTTAAAGTGCATCCCAGATCTTGCAAAAAGAGATACAGAAGTTCTGATCTCCCAGCCACAGACAACTGTCACTGGGAACTCTTGAAGAGAGGACAAAAGGCAAGTACAGCCTGCTCTTCAAGACTCCCCCTTTCCCCCAAGGCAGACCCAGAAGATGCAAAGACCTGGCCCCGAGGTCACCAGGTGGCCACCTACCACCACCATTTTTTCCGCAGAGGTAAGGGAACCTCCACACGTTGCCCAGGCCGATGGCGTAGCCCACACAGGACATGAGGAAGTCGAAGCGGCCCTTCCATGTGTCCCGGTCAGGCAGGTCCCCAGCCTTCTTCTGCACCTTGACTACCAGGGTTTTGGGCTTGTCGCTGGCCACAGGGGCCTCACTGACTTCGGTAGAGATCTGCCCATCAGCCACTTTGCTGTTGTCAGTCGCCATGTCTCGGGGCACAAACTTGGCAGCAGGGGTCCTGGTGGGTGGGCGTGTGATGTCAGCTCCGGTCCACGTGGACAGCAGCTTTGCAGCCTGGGGGTTGTCGTAGGAGGACAGAGTGGGTTATGGTTAAAGAGATAGCGTGGATATGAAACTGCCCTCTGATCAGTCCTGAGTTCTGTTTTTTGTTTGTTTGTTTGTTTGTTTGTTTGTGTTTTTGTTTTACCAACTGAGTACTAGTACTTAGTACTATGACTTAACATTCCTGCTGATTCTGTCTTGTGTGTGTGTGTGTGTGTGTGTGTGTGTAGTGGAGGTACGTATGTTCGTGTGAGTATGCATATATGGGGCAGAGGTCAACCTTGGGTGCCCTTCCCCAGCAGCTGTTCATTGCTCCTGAGACAGTGTCTCTTGCTGGCCTGGAACTTACATAGAAGGCTAGGCTGGTTGGCCAGCAGGCCCTGGGGATCCTCCTGTCTCTGCCTCCCAAGTGCTGAGATTACAATTGTGCACCCCCATGCCTGGCTGAGTGTGGGGAACACAAGCACATCTGGGAACACAAAGAGATGCTTGAGGAGAGTGTGGGGAGGCCGCCTCTGTCACCTCCAGTCGTACTCTGGTTGAGAAGTCTCTTGTTGAACCTAGAGATCATTATTCAGCTCTCAGGTCTACTGGGGTGTGGTGGCCACCTGGCTGGCAGAATGCCTCATGCATAGCTGCTCATCTTACCTGAAAGTTCTCTGTGGTAAGTCCTCTCCTAAAGGCCCCCTCCACAGAGCCTGCAGAACAGAAGGGGAGAAGGGGGGGTGAATGAGCAGTCCACACCAGATGGGGCCGGACTGTCAGCAGGGGGCAGCAGGCAGCGGGAAGCAGCTGGGGCAGGCTGTGCCTGAGGCTGCAGAGCATCCCCTGCCAGGGTGACTGTAGTGAGTCCATGCAGCGTGGCACCAGCCTGTGGGTGTGCAGACATGCAGGATGGGCTGTGTTGAAACAGCTGTAAAGATGAGCAGGGTGTTCCATAATTTTATCAAAGGGAAAAGAGGAGCCAGGGGTGAGACAAGGCTCAGGGGATATTGGGAGTCAGGAACTGGACTGATGGGGTTTTTTTTTGTTTGTTTGTTTTTGTTTTGTTTTGTTTTGAAATTTACAGAATTGCAGTTTATTCTAGCTGATATTTTTCTCCATCCTCAACATAAACTTGAAGAGCTGTCAGAGCACAGAGTAGAACTCTATATTTTATAGCACAGAAGGTGGAGTTTGGGAAAATCTTCAAGTGTCCTGCTTAAGGCTCTGCCCCTCTCCCCCAAACATGTCAACAGACATTCATGGAACTTGTTTTCTTCTTGTGTGTTAACATTTCTTTTCTAGAACATTCTACAGAAGCTGCCTAATAAAAATGACACAAACTAAACTTATGGAACCCTCAGAACAAACTGGAGCACAGGAAGGAAGTGCTGCTCTGTGGCTCCCACTTAGGAGATGAGCAAAAGCCATGGTTGGCATGGGCATTGTGCCTGGGATCTGCCCCAGAGGCCCCGTGTGCGGTGCATGGCCTCCAGCCCCTCACATGCAGCCTGTTACCCAGCGTCATGTGTCCTTCTCCCGGGAATACTCCAAGGCCACCCCTGCTTCTCCTCCTCACGGTAGCCGGCTCAGTTTGAGCCTCCTGTCCAGTGGTTGTCTTGTCCTGAATGTCATTCCAGCCAGGCTTGGCCACACCAGGGAGAAATGTGGCCTCAGGTAGAGGCAGAATGTAGCCTCCAGGATGGAGAGAGCAGGAGGCTGAAGATGGAACCTGCTCCAGAACCAGGAAATTCACACTGCAGACTCAGGTGAGACAGACAAATGTGTTCACTCTTTTTGTGACCACCGTGTCCTCAGTTGTTCCACTGTCTATCCTAGTAGGCTCCAGTGGCCATATTTATTCAGAATAATCCAATCACCAAAGGCCATGTCTGACCATATGACCTAAGCTAGCCAATCAGATTCCTTCCCTGGCATTTTGGCATGAGGAGAGACTTGGGGACTACGCATTCTGTAGTCAGTGTGGCCGAAAGAGCTGGCTGCTGAGGAAGAAGGGGGTGTATCTTGCTGCTGTTCTAGCTTGCACTTCCAGGCTTTCTTTAGTCTAGCTACTCTGCTCTGGGATGCAACAAGGTGTCCTTTACCATGGCTTGAATGAGATACTTCAGAGGTCAGGTTGATTGTGAGGTTTGGCTCCCACTAACGTCGTTGTCGCCTGAGAAGATTGTTTAAAAAGTGAGTTCCACCTTCTCGGCCTCTCTCCTGCCATATCTGAGGAGGACTGGTGCCTCTAATCTGCCATAGACTCGCAGGTTCCAGAACCGTGGGCCTCCAGCCATTATCCAACACTGGCCTGTGGCATTCTGTGACAGTAGCACTGATGGGCAAAGACGGTTTCCATGGTCACATGTGGCTCTAAGCCTCCTTGCCCTTTGGGTCCTCAGGAAAAGCAGTCCACAAGTCCTTGAGTCCAACCCAGGAGTCCCAGGCAGGGCTACTTGGCAGAGCTGGCCCTGAGGGAGCCAGGCTGTCATTTCTGTTTTCCGGAAATGTTTATCTGGATTCAGCCGAACACCTGCAGCATCCAAAAAAGAGCTGCAGAGCCAAGCAAGAGCTGCGGTTTCATGTCTATGTCTGAACGTAAACAAAGGAGGCTGGTGGGATGGAACTGATGCCCAGGGTAGGATCCAGGATGCAGAGACCTGGACTTGCTTGGTACTGAAGCCACTTTAGTGCTGAGTCAGACCTTGGTTCTCTCTAGCACCTGCTAATGTAGGGTGAGCTTCCTTGCCTCTCTGACCCCTATCTGTATAAATGAGGGATCAGAACAAGGCCAGACACATAAGTATGCATGCTAACTCTGGCGCTGGCTGACATTCACAAGCCTGCATGGGCATTCACCATTGTCTGTGGACTGATAGTCTGCACACAGCACCCCTGGCTGCAGCTGTGTAGGAATATCCCAAAAAGGGTTTCGTGAAGATGGAAGGCCTGGTACTCTTGAGACTCTGGTCCCTCAGAGTGTCAGCATTTCAAAAGTCCAGATGTCACCCTGTCAGTCCTAGTGGGGCCCACCAGGTATCAAGGCATGAGTCTCCTTGCTGTGGGTCTTTACCTCAGCCAGAAGAGGAAGAGGTCTGGCTCGTCTCTGTCAGAAGCTGAGAGGGGAGCAAGACTGGGATAATGTTGTAGGAACTGTTCTCAAGAAAGATATGACCAGGCAAACAGAAGACTCACTCAGGGGTCTCTGAGAGTTAATGAAAGAAAGCAGAAGGAAAAGAGTGGCGAGTGTCTCAGTGATGGTCCATCGCTCCTCAGTGGGGCTCTGTGACCAAACCCTAAAGCCATTGACAAGAACAGCTAAAGCAACATAAAGAGCTCTGCAGGTCCCTCAACTTAAGACACTTTGTGAGGAAGGAGTGTGGAGCCGGAAGCTCTAGATCAGACATGGCAAATGGGTCACAAGCAGCCCTCCGGCTTGTTTTATTTGGCCACAACAATAAAATCCAGTTTGACTTAGAAGTTGGAAATGTGACACGCTAGGACACAGTGTTTTAAGCAGTGGGAAAGTAGTGCAAAGACCCCAGGCAGGAAGGAACCCTTGGCTTTTGAAAGACAGCAGGGAGGCCAAGAAAGGAACAGATCCAGGGAAAGAGGTGATGTCATATCACACAAGGGTCCCAGAGGCCAGAGTCAGCAGTTCAAATTATTATTATTATTGTTGTTGTTGTTGTTATTATTATTATTATTATTATTATTATTATTATTATTATTATGACTTTGTATCTGAAATGGGAAGTGCTGTCTCATGCTTCTGGATCTCACCGTAGCTGTGACAAATGTTTTAAAAGGTCAGGAGCAGAGGCAGAGAGGCTCTTGGGAGATTGAGTCCAAGAGAGACATGGGACTTGGTCCTGGCCACTGGGGCACTGGGGCTCCACCCTGGAGCAGGGCCTGGAAGCCTGCTGGTGGCCTAGAGATGGGCAGCCCAGCACTGTACCAGTGGGAAGCTGTGAAAGAGCAGAGTACAGGGAAACCCCAAGGGGACAATCTCCCTCTGTCTCATGGCTTCAGAAGGCCTGGTGTGGTCATGTGGGTGGAAAGAAGGCAGAGGCTGAGAAGCCAGGGCTTGGAAGTCAGGAATACCATTGTCCTAGCACATGAGCTGTGGGTCGTTGGAGGAGACAGAGCAACAGGCTTGGCCTAAATTCTGCTCCCGCTTGTCTCTCTCCCCATCCCCCTTCCTTCCTCCCCTCTCCTTCCTCCCCTACTCCCCATTCCTTCTTCCTTCCCTCACCCCCCTTCTTCCTCCTTCCCTCCCTGGCTAGGCCCACTGCTCCCTCCCCCCTGCTCAGTAATTACTGAGATGGCAGAGGCTTGTAGCAGCTGTAATAACCCCGCTTGCTTTTATCTCTTTCAGAACTGTGATGGTTCAAGAAAGGAATTAATATTGGGTTTGGATTCGTGCCAAGAGGAAACAATGCATTTTATTATCTGATTGAGAGGGAAATGCTAGGCCCACCCTTGGGACATCTGCTGTGTACCCAAGTCCCATGCTTGAATCCTTTCACAGAAATGATGCATGTTTTTAACACCTAGTATATTCTAGGCATATCACAGGAGTTCTACTGTCCAGACTTATTGTAGATACATAAGCTGAGAGTTACTATATTCCTCAGATAGAGAAGGAAACTGAGTCCTGCCAGCCTAGGGCAGCAGTTTGTGGGGGTAGGGAGTCTCAGTGGGCTTTGCAGTTCCAGCCTTGCTGTGCATAGTGCAGTTATGCTAGCAGCAGTGTCCCCTGGGATTAGGTTGTGTGACAGAGGTGCACTGAGCCTTGAAGCTATGAGGTAGAGACCTCAGATTTTGTGAAGCTGACTTTCCATCTTACCCTTGTAGGGTGTTTAGTTGGGATATTCGGCTTGGGCTGCTCTCAGGCTTCAAGAATGTGGTGAGAATTGAAGTCAGGACACACAGGACGTGTCAGTAAGGGGCAATTCCAGCTGTCACACAAAGACATGATCAGCCATATATGTACTTTGTCATAGGGAGCAACTAGCAATGACAGCTAGCCCAGGGAAGAGAGGCCAGAGGGAGGTAGAGTCCCAGAAGTCTTTGACAGGTGTTCATGGAAAAAGAGTGGCTTCGGGCAAGATTGATGGGAGAGTCCAGCTGGACCTCTGGAACAGACCCCATTCTTGGAAGCTCAGCTAACATGTAAGGGGATCAAATAAGGCACCTTCCTGGTGCAGGCTGTTTCCATACCACACTCACATATCTACACAAGGCTCAGAGAAGACCAGCATGAGCTCAGGGTCACACAGCACAAGAGTGACTTTATCTTTTTAGTCTTCAAACTCCCTCCACGTTCATTCAGGGCCTGCAAACCAGTTCTCATTAGAAAGTACTAGATGCTAGGCTTTCCCAGAATCCCACCGGGACAGTCTAGTAAGTTAGTTCTCCTCTCAGGGCTCAACAGAACCATGACAGGTTTTTTTTTTTTTCCAGTTCATGCCTGCACCAGAGAAGAGTAAGATACACCAAAGCTACATGATCAATAGTCCCATCGTTCAGACATGATGCCATAGCTCAAAGATGTCAAATGACCTACCCCAGATCACCCAGAGCTTAACCTGGGCCCAGGAGTTCGAGCCTGGCCTACCCTCAGCTTGTGTATCCTGGAATGAGGCCTGGATGAATATCCTGAGGCCTTAGGCTCCCTGGCCCCGGAGTCCATCCTAGTTGGTATGGCTAC